TTGTCACTGGAGTGTGTTTCCTGGAAAACATGAAATGTTTGTTAACGATCAGAGCGGTTGGTGTCAATGTATCCGACACAGAAATAGCTGACATGTTGTCCTCATCACCCTCATGGGGAGTCTTTCAGCACTATGGTTGCTTAGAATAAAAACAAAAAGAGATCCGGTTATAATGGACAGAGGCGAGAGTGCACAAGATTTTTTCATTGATAGCAGAACAAACAATGCTATAATGTACATCAAATGTTTTTAATGTCACATAACCGCTTCTATGACTGGACATCAAGATGTTTTGAAAAGCAAACAAACATTAGGACTACAATGCAAGTTTTTTTTTCTGGGAATTGAACCCTACATACCTCCTCTCTTCTTTTCTTTTTCCAGCAGCTGTTTTTTGAGATCGTCAATGTCATTCTTCAGTTTGGTATTCTCCACCATCAGCTTCTTCTCTTCTCTGACACTGGCCTGGACGACTGCAGGAAGGAACATTAACGTCAGCTCTCAGCACTGGAAAGGGTTTTCACTATCCCACAGGACCTTTTAAGAACTGCTGAACTAGAACAAATATAATATTGACTAAAATTAAGCGGCGTATAAATCTACAGTGAAGAAGCCATGATTTGTACATTGAATTAAAAAAAATAGTCCCATGGAGTCTAAAATGATATTTAAAAGTGTATTATTTTCCTTTTTGGAATGATATTGCTTGCACCCGCTGTGCAGGTCAAAACGACTGAAATAGAAACTCACTCATTAAACTTTTTTAAAATAAGTTATATAACTCTACCTTATAGAAAAATGCCATATATACAAAAGTACTTATTTATTAATTAATTTAAAGCCAATAACAATGTGAATTTAATGACTAATGTATGAGATACATTTGGCTAATTCAACTTCCTTTTTTCCCCGAGTTACGCCTACAAATACCTTGGAATTACTTTCAGAATGACAATCCTTGTAAATTTAAGAGGCAGTTTCCCAAAAACTGGGGCTTCAGGTTTCTCAAAACTGCTAGTACTCCTACAAGGATTTCACACTTAAATTATGAGACCGTGAATATGCAGGAAAGCAGCTCTTCAGCCAGAAATGAATGCCTCCTACAGCCAATACAGATATTTATCAGATACCTCACTTCCTCACTTGAGCACAGCAGAAGGACTTTTTGAACAGAAAAAGTGTATAGAGAGACATGTGTGCTATCTTAAACCTAGATATATATTTTTGTAAGACTGTGGCTTAATGAATGGGCCCTGTACAAAGTGTGAGTGCGTGCGTCTTACTGGCTTTCTCCTTCAGCAGCAGGACTTGTTGTTTGAGGTACTCGATGATCTGGTCCGCCTCAGACGCTCGCTGCTCCAGCCTCAACAAGGGATTGTGACCTGACATCTTGAACAGCGAGCGAGCTAAAAACCTAACGAAAAAAAAAAAAACACAATTCAGCAATCTCAAAACTCCAAAACAAAGAAATGCAAAAGCTGGAAAATATATTGAATTTAATACAATTTCAACTTTATGAAATACAATCCGTTGGGGGTCTTTGCTTTTGTTTTTAAAAGGGGGTACATGTTGATGCTTTACGCACACAAGTAGCACAAAGACTTATACAGTTACCCCAGAGCCGTATACCTATTCAATGTTATTTTAAGTTTTTCTCAAGTGACAATGAACATGTAAAAAAAGAGATGGTAAGTAAGTGCTATGCTTAACATGTTTGGAGTTACAAGGTTTGCATTCCAGTACAACGCCACCACAAACTACAGGCTCTGAAACGACCACGGAGTAAAGTCAACCTCTGTCTGACAGTCTCAACAAAACCTGAACATCTTAATTATCGAGCTGGTTTGTTTTGCTAGGCTGCCCTATATGACAGCATTATATTGTACAGGGGTTTCCTATTTTCTGAAACATATCATTATATATATATATTATTCATTATATAATGTCGTTTTGGGACGTTGCCAAAAGTGACACAATCTGATCTTGCGTGCTAAGACATATTCATGGTTCCCTTCCATGATATCAGAAAATAAATAAGCTAAATTTGAATCAAAAATGATACCATTTGAATATTTTCTGCATTATTTCAGTGAAGGAAAACCTGATTGGTGGCTCGATTAGTTACAAGAAAAACGTAAAAAACAAAACAAAGTATTGCGTCTTCCTATTTCTTTCATAGTAAGAAATTCCAAAGTGACATATAGTTTATCCTTTAAACCACAGTAAACATCAACATCATTTGTTTTGGATATTAAATTCAAAATGATCCACTCTTGGGCCACTCGACCCAAACAGGGTAACGTTCCTTTATCATTTTGAGCTGGGCAAATTACTTCTTGCAGAAAGAGGAAAAGAAGGATTTTTACGAAGCTGAGGCATGGAGAAAAAAACGTCTTAATCATATTACAGGGAGGCGCTGCAAAACAACAGCTGGCTCGAGATGAAAACAAAATGTTAAGAGATGAGGAAATTAGAAACACAAAAGAGCTGGAGTTGATAAAATCAAGGATCAAAGCATTGCTTTTGGAGAAACTGAATTGATTTAAACAGGCCCAGTGTTGGAGTAATGACAAGACCCACAAAAAGGCTGATCTCATCTGGATAACCCCAGAAAGGGATTCTGAGGCCGAGGCTCGGTCGGCAGCATATAAACATGACATGGTGATTTTAGCTTTTGATTTCAGATGGAAAAAAGCAAATGTGTTTACAATGTTAAAGTGAAAGAGACTTTCAGCAGCCGTCAGGATGAAATTACCTTTCTAGGCTGAAAGAAAATACAAGTGTCTTTGATTCGTCTACAAAAGTGCGACTGTAAACAAGTGTACTGCGCTGTACAGGGGACAGCTCTCACCCAACTGGAGAAGGCATCTGCATTATCAGTCTCCCTAAAAATAGTCACGACTGGATAGCTGAGTCATAGCGCTTTTATTAGCCCAGCAGACAAACATTTTATGTCTACATCCCCTTTCAAATTACAATATCAAAGCCAATACTGCAGATATAACCTCAGAGTGAACAGGTGGTTTGAGTCAAATTTGTTACACTTTACCACCATCTTCCTCTTGTATGTAGCTGGTATGAGAACGACCCACCAGGATACAAGTGTTTCCTCTTTTCATGCTTTATTCCCATAGTGAAAATATACTGTAGGAGGATACTTCCCTACCTGTCTACTAGCCAGACCATTATACACGCGGACAAAGCAGGAAGCCAGCACCACCTTAAGGCATTAGAGGGACCTACACATTTAGACTTTACAGAAACTATACAAGGAGTAGTCTTTAGCACCAGATATACTACATTTAAGTATGTTTTTAATGCACGGGCAAAAATAAGTAACAACTGAGCAATAAATTGAGCATTATTATTGACAATAATAAAACAGCAATTACTGTCTCTGTCTGCATAATAAACTGTTAAACACCTGGAAACAAGACAAATGAGAAATAGTAACAAGACATGGTGCCTGCCTTCATGATCTGGTTATGTATCTGTTGATAGTATAACATGTCATTATAATCACCATTGTCCTCTGCAATATTTTCTACTACCTTATTTTTGTTAATCAATAAGAGGCATGGTTATTATTGCACAGACGTATGTATTTAGAAAGGTGCCAAAATGTTGGATCTCAGACAGTAAATTCATTCATAATAGTGCATATAGTACAACTGAATATCTGTATAAGGACTTATATTAATACTGGCTCCTGTTAACATGACCTATATCTAGAACATAAAATAGAGATTAGAACATGCAGTCATTTGCAAATCACAGTATTAAAACAAATTGACATGCCAACCATACACATAAATGGCTCCTACAACAATCTTTTTACAAATTGGAGCACTTGGATTCAATATGATTTGTAGGGAATGGAACAATAGTTTGTATTTAACATTAGTAAACGTGAAATTGAAACATGTTGACTTTATGCTAACTCTCATGTAGCTAGCACCAATAACCTAACTAGCACCACGGTTGTTAAGGTTAGACGTTATGGACGGGTTATGATCAGTTAGTAAATGCAATGAAATAAAAACACAGAGATTTATGAAACTCACATTGACTCTGAGCAGCTACCTCAACACGTTTCAGAGGAGGAGGGGGCTTGACAGTTGCTAGTCCTGCTAACGTTACATTAGCTAACGAACAGACAGGCAGCTAGCCGCGGAGAGGCTGAATCAGGCCCCTTGAGTAGATCTCTACACTATGCGGATGTAGCTTTTATATTATTGACTACCATCCACCTGTTCTATAGATCGGATATTGTCACAGAATATAATGAGGTGCCTGTATGTAATTACTACAATGGTCAAATAACTTTTCCAAAAATACGAAAAAGAAGGATTGAACAATTACTTTGTTAAGGTGTTGAATTAAATGTGTTTTATTTGAGTAAATATATATATATATTTTTTTTTTGGTGCACTGCTTTGTCGAACTTTGTCGCACACATATTACGTCGTTGATCACGTTCAGTCAGCTGTTCACATCACATTGCAGAGGCAGGAAACGAATTCATTTAAAACATTTCAAATCATTTAATCAATATTTCCAAGTGTATTCTGCTGACATGGCAATGCAGATTTTGCATTAAACGTGAGTAACGTTCTACTTTTTCCGGGGTTGTTTTCCACAATGCATAGTTTGTTTACTATCCGGTCCAAGGGGGATGTTATTATTGTACTAAGCTAACTGTCACATTTACACAGTGGGGTTAACTGCAGCATCGCTATGTACATTGTGTCTGAAGTTGATATAAACATATTGTATCCGTCACATATCTTACTTGTTCCATTAAGGATTTTGCATTAGCCAGCGTTAATAGAAACATGTACAAGGTTTAAATTAATATATGATTCACCATAGTAGTGTTGATGATCACAATGTTCCCTTCATTCATAGTTATACTCAATGGCTACTTTATTACGTTCACCTGTACAACTTAATGCAATCCTCAAATAAACTGTTCTTCAGTAAATTCTACTTGTGTAATGCCTATAACATTAGGCCTTTTTTTACACTGTCATAAAGGTGTTATTTAGATACATTTGTAAGCATTGAAGTCATAGCTATTTAGTTGTGTTGTGCTACTGAACTGCACTGCACTCCTAATAACCTGCACTTTTTAATGTATAAAAACAGATTATAAATTGGCTGAAGATAATAATGCAATGATATGATGATACAAAATGATAAGACCAATTTAAATGTCTCTTAACACTATTAGGCTTTTTTAAACTTTGTATAACCATAGAATAAATAGCAGAGCTGTTGTGTTGAATTCAAATACATTATACAGATGCTACTATAATGTGGCCACTTAAACTTATCATCACATAATATTCATTTATTAATTCAACAGATCTTTCCCATTGAAACCAAGTGGCGAGATGAGGCCCCTGAAAGACGCCCAGCTGGGAGCCTTCACCTTCTTTGCCTCAGCTCTTCCTCATGATGTCTGTGGGAGCAATGGCCTCCCTCTCACCCCAAACTCCATCAAGATCCTGGGACGTTTCCAAATCCTTAAAACCGTCACTCATCCCAGACTCTGCCAATATGTGGACATCTCCAGAGGAAAACACGGTATGACTTTCTGTTTTGTCCTTTGCAAGGGATCTAATTAAATTGCATAGCCTGTCCTTGAAGGTTATTAAATTGTATTTGTTTTATTTGAGTGATATTATGCCCCTTGTGTCCTGTCATTGAGCGTATCCAAAACATACTTAGAATTCTGTGTGGAAATCACGTTTGCTGTGATTAAGTAATAGATTTTGTATTGATAATGAACAAAAAATGTTTTAGGGACTGCATTATTTGCAGTCCAACACAACAGCATCACAAAGGAAGGACATATCTTGGTCCTGGGATAGTTTCTGCTGTGGAAATGCCCTCATGTAGTATAATAGGATTACTTATAATAAAAAATAACAGCTTTTCTTAATTTAGTTGGATTAAGATACCAATCTGATGCATTTTCACTTCACATTTTATTGTAGAGGTTTAAAATAAATACTCATATTATAAATGAATATCAATTCATCATTGCTAACTTTTTATTTGTATTTCTTCTTCTTGCCTTACAGAAAGACTGATTGTTGTTGCTGAACACTTTGAAAGCAGTTTAAGTGATTTCCAAAAACAGGGGAAAAAAGCCAGGTGGGATTGCCATTAAAAAATGTCAAAACGAACTATTTAAAAGTAATTATACTACACTGTATCTGATGAACCAATGTTGTTTTCCACCTTTGTTATCACTGGTGAGCAGCTATTGTTAAAACCTTGTAGTGCTAATACAATATGTTATATATGATGGTGCACGGTAATACAATGCGTTCACCGTGCCATCTAATGGCTGATGATAGGTTTGCATAATATGTTTATTCAAACGTCTAATACGTAAACGTCTAAAATAAAAAAAATGTAAATGAAATCTTTATCATGACAACTCTGTTTGACATACTGCTGTTTTTGTGTCTGTAATAGCTCAGAGAAAGTAATGCAGGTAGCCTATGAGCTCCTTGAAGGTCTGGACTTTATGAACAAACATGGCATGGTGCACAGAGCCCTCAGCGCACACAATGTGCTCATGGACTGCAAGGTAAACTTGAGCTTTTTAATGTACGTCTAACTTAGTCTTTCCAATATGTGCTTGCAAGTAACACTGTCACTCAAATGTATTGTTTTTTCTTTGTAGGGGAATGTCAAGCTGGCAAAGTTTGGCCTTTATCACATGACTGATCATGGAGCCGATGTGGATTTTCCCATTGGGTACGTCTTTGTCTCCTCATTCATCACAGGGAAAGGTCCAATGGTGCTCTGGTATTCCTCAACTGCTGGGATTGAGCTATGTGAGCAGTCTGTTCAGGGTCAAAGGATCACTTGTATCTGTTTGTTGTTAGTTGAATCATGAAGAAGGCATTGACCATAACATTGATGCATAATCGACCGTGCTTTTTTCATAGAAACCAGCTTACGGGGCATCAAAAGAGCTTCCTGCTTTTGAAACTCTAACAGATTGTTGGACTTTTATCCTAATCCAAAAGCCCTTTTGCCCTGTCAACTATCTCTTTGTAATATCCTTTTGCAGGTCGGAAAGGAATGATGGCACATGCCCGTGACTTCCAGTAAAACATCTGGATGGAACATGTGATAAATGTGTCAAAAAGCTATGCAATAAACATCAGTTAATGATGAATAATGACAGAAAGGTGTGCAATATCTTCACCCTATGGAGCGGCAGTAGCTCAGTCTACAGGGACTCGGCTTTAGGAACCCGATGGTCGCCGGTTCAAATCCCCGTACAAGCAAAGTAACAAGTGTTGTCTGGTAGATTTTGTACTGCGACGACCCATTATTCAGACTTCTTTCCATATTGATGCATTTTCTGTGTGTTAGTCAAGAATGAATGAATTATTAGAATTGAAGTCCATTTTTTTTTTACAATTTTTCTTTATTATGTTTAGTATTACTGTTATTAATGTCTTTTTTTTTCTTCGTTATTATTATTATATTATGTATTTGTTTTATCATAGTCGGGAGAACATCCTATATTCATTTGTAGTATTGGACATAATATGGAAAGGATGTTGTAGGAAGTGAATCAAACAAAGCTCGATGGTGTGATGTTTCACCACTGCACAGTTTTTTTTATGACAGAAAACTGTGTATCTGAGCAAATGTTTTTTTTGAGGTGTCACAGTGATGTTCTCATCTGCTCTGTGAACGTGACCTCAGGTACCCATCATACCTCGCTCCAGAGGTGATCGCTCAAGGCTCTTTCCACCCCAGCGACTCCTCCCATGATGAAGCTCCTCTGCCTTCAGGACCCAAGACTGATGTCTGGTCTCTTGGGGTTTTGCTGTTTGAATTATGTGCAGTAAGAAACCTTCATAACCCTCTTCACACAAGACAAAGACATCAATACAATATATCATTTTGCGTTTGCCTGAACTCACACTTTATGGAGAGTCTTCCCTATTAATTCTGATGCTGTGACTTAATTACAGGGTCGGCGACTGCTGCAGAATATTGAGATCAGTGAGAGGTTGAAATTCATTCTGACCTTGGGTGAGTAAAAAGGACATTATTATTGTAATTACTTAGCAATATACTCTCAAGCCTAATTAAGCTCACGCTGTGATACGTTTGTCTTTCTCAGGTTGCATGGACGACATTGTCACCGTCCTTGCTGAGGAACACGGCTGTCTGGATGCCATTAAGGTAAAGTCAAAATCCTTGGCTGCCTCGATATATAAGTCAATTAGATAATCCTCATGTAGAGACATTTTTAATGGTACTTTTAAGGAGATTGGTATTAGCCATTATCAGGAAATGAGGTTGCAGTACTTGCATGGCAGTATTATATATATATATATTATAAAAAAGGAGAAGGGCACTCAGAGGCCGATGTTATAAGTGGAACATAATGTGTGTATCCACCCTGTGAGTCAGTTCCAAAATGTAATGGGTTCTTCCTTGGCCTATGCTACACCCTTTCCCCAAGTTCATTAAACTTGAGCATGTAGTTTTTCAGTAATGCTGCTGACAGACAGATAGACAAACAATAACAAACAAACCAAATTGAAACAGAAAACATAACTTCCTTGACGGAAGTTCAAAACCACATGGGCATCATTAGGGATCAATTTGAAAGGTTTTAGTATCTCTACACGTATATACAGGGTAAAACAATACCTTAGTTAAGCTACTAATACCAAAACAATACTTTAAGCCAAATAATCTGAAACAGCATTTGAAAACTTGATGGATAGATGTTGTAGGTGTTTCTAAGCATTCTGTAAAAGCTAATGGGTCATTCTCATGTAAGCATGTTCTATGTTACTAACCAATCACCAGAAATTATTATAAAAACAGATTTCATATAGTATTTTATATTTAAATGGATTAAATCAGACATTTAGACATTTGTTGTTAGTTTAAATGCGACCTGTATGTTTTTTGTGTACTGTAGTTAATTAAGGCTTTTTTTTCAGGAGCTGCCTGAGAATGTTCTTGAGTTATTAAGGAAGTGCTTGACATTTCTTCCATCCAAAAGGTAATTACAGCCTTTAATATAATTCTCTTGTTGTTGTAGGACATTGGCCATTTAGTTTCCAAAACATTTTTGATGCGGGTTATTAAAGACTTCCTGCAAAGGAGTCCAGCAAGCATGCAAATGAAATGATGCAAAAATACACAGATGTAAGTTATTGCCTGAAATTGCAATGAACAGTTTGATTTTATATAACTACATGTTAAGTAAAATGAGTCTTCAGTTAATACAAAATTATAACGTTAATGCACGCTCCCTGTTTGTGGCTATTTTGCTGTCATGACCATGTCTTTGTCCTCAGGCCGACCCCTGCAGAGCTGCTGGGAGACCCTGTTTTTAATGGCGTCTCCTGCCTCTATACGCCCTTCAAGAAGCCTGTTAGTCTCTTCTCTTCTTCCCTCCGCTGTGCACATCTGGAGCTTCCAGACGACATCAGTGACCTTTGCAAAGGTCTGCCCCAAATACACATAACATCGCAGAGTTACACCTACACACTTTAAACAAAGTCCTTCTGTCAACCCTCTTCTTTCTGGCAAAAACCTAAAAAAAAACATTTCTAAAAGCTGAATTGATTGTGTTAAGGTAGGTTACATTAAGAATTCTAGCAAGCAACTCAATTAAAGTAGCAGAAAGATAGACGTAATAAGTGTAAAAGGTTTTAAGTGGTGTCCCGTGAGAATTATCTTGCATAGTTAAGGAGTTTTGCATTTTGATATCGCCTATAATATTTAACTTCCACCAATTATATTTAGGGCTTAGTTAGTTTGTATAAGCAGGGGTGCACATAACTGGTACGCATGCGCGGCACAAATCTGAATTGCGTAACCTCACTTGTGTCATTAGTGGCCTTTGCGTACCTTTTACAAGAAACTGCACTTTATTTGTTAAACATTTAAATTCTATAACACATACTATTTTTAAAGCCCATCAAAAACGGGCAGGATGAAATACTAAAAGTGATCATGTATAAACCACCTGCGGGACGTGTTTTTGGGATAGGGATATATTATTATTATTATTATACACATTTCAGTTCAACAAGATTCTTACACCTATGTTTCACAAAATAAACCACATCATTGAAATGTATGTTTTGTTAAAACAATATTCCGTTACCATACGAGTGAACATGTGTGTTAATGTCAGGAGAGGATTATAAACTTGATATGAAGGTGATCTTTTGATTGTGTGTGCTCTGGTGCCATCTGTGCTCATGGGGATGTGTTTACTGTTCTGTGTGTATGATTGTTATTAGACGATGATGAGGACTACCTGTCGGAGCGTGCCATAAATGAGGTGTACCATCTGTGGTGTCTGGCGGGGGGGGACCTGGAGAAGGAGCTGACCAACAAAGGGATCATACAATCCAAACCTCCAATCTGCACTCTCGCAAAGTACATAAAACACACACACATATCGTGATGAATCCATCTGCTAGCTTTAGTTGATATTCACACGCTCTCTGTCTCTGTTTCTGCTCTTTTTAAAGCTTTGTCCTGGAAGACGGGGAGTCGTTTGGACAGAGAAGGGATCGGAGTTTCTTGCTTGATGACACAACAGTGACACTGTCTCTGTGCCAACTAGGAAACGTAAGATGAAAACCAGTCAGCAGACATTTAAAATGTTGTGTAAATGTATGTACTGGATCATACTGTGTGGTTGGGGTGCTTCTTTCAAATATGTTCGCACTTTCAAAACAAACAATCAAATCTAAATACTCTCTATCAACTTGTTTCTGTTCTCTTACAAAGGCAAGAAAACCCTTTAATAACAAGTTCCTATTAACATTTGCAATATTTGAAGTTAGTTTGTTTATCACACCAGCTGACAACTCCTCCTAAAAAAAGTGAATTTTTCCTGTCCAATATGCCTACGGTTTTGAATGCGGTTGATCCACAAATGTGGCATGCTTGGTTTATAGTGGGTGTTTTATTTATGCTATAAGAGGTTTCAAAATGCCCCCTTGAACAAAATTAAACTGTAATTGTGGATCCATCTTATGTTTCTTAAGCCTCTCTATCCCTTTTTCCAGAGACTGAGGGATGTAGCAGGAGAAGCCTATTACCCTCTACTGGAAGACGAGTAAGCCATTTTTATCTTTTAAATTGCCTCTTTCGCCCTCTCCTCCCCTGTCACAACTTCTCATGTCACCCTATCATTTATTTTGGCTCGGGTAATGTCATATTTCCTCTACTTCAGACAGTCAAGTCTGCCCCAGTCCAACAGCAGCAATGAGCTGTCGACCACCGTCAAGCTCCCACTTATCATCCGAGAGAGAGACACCGAGTACCAGCTCATCCGCATCATCCTCTTTGACAGGCTGCTCAAGGTCTGGGCTCCATTCTAATTCCTACACACACACACACACACACACACACACACACACACACACACACACACACACACACACACACACACACACACACACATTGATGCTACGCTCATTAGCATGCTTTCCCAATTACAGCGAAATCCTAGATATGTCAGAGGCTGGTGAGTGTTTCAACCCTAGTTCTGGATTTTTAACAATTATCATTTAACCAGGTTACTTTCAAATTAAAGCTGGGTCATGTATACTCTGTTAAACGGGGAATTTTGGATTGTTTCGAAGTTGGGTTGAATCAGATACTTTTACATATTTATTGCATGTGTCCTGAAGTAAATTGCGGGGTGCACGCCCCCAGTTTGGAGAGACAGACAGAAGGATAAGCAGCACTCCTGTGGCCGGGGGTTGCTAAAAGAAAGGCCTTCTCAAAAAACATCAGTATGCTAGATTTAGAATATTTTCACTGCTTTCCATTGCTTTCAGACAGCCCTTATTATGGGCAGGGTACTTAAAATGTTTCTATGGTCTCACCAGATCCACCAGACTACATAAAAAAGACCCTGTCATTTTACCAGGCTCAACACTTTGGTTGCTGGTCTACCACTGGCTCCATTGACTACTTTGTTATTGTGTGATTTTGGTGAAAGGGTTAGTCTGGATTTCCAAAAGTTTCACAATATCAAACTTAAAAAACCATCATGGTAGGAAAATACAATTAACTCCCCTGTTTTGTGAGGTAAAACGTATTTTTTTTTGTCAAGGAGTGGCAATTTATTTGATGGTAAGGAAAAAAAGTGATTATTACAAAAATATATTCTAAAATGTGTTTTGCTGCTGCCCCGTTCACATCGGTATATTGCAATGCTTCCAGGTCTATTTCTCCAAACTGGGGCTCACTGTAGGTTACACACTGAGTATCGAAAAGTATCTCAAACCCACTTCAAAACATCCAAACTTTTCTTTTTTATACTTTGCCCTCAGGCGTATCCTTACAAGAAGAACTTGGTGTGGAAAGAGGCCAGAGTGGATATCCCCCCTCTTGTTCGGGGTCTGGTGTGGGCAGCACTGCTGGCTATTGAGGTATAAGATAAATTGTAATCTTGTGTTGAGACAAGATGCAGCATTATTTTCTCTGGAAGCCAATCCATTAAACCATTTTTTATTTTAACAGGGTGACATTCAAGCCAAATATGAGAGCACTGACAAGGATACCCCGATCCCAACTGACAGACAGGTCATTTATTTGTAACCATGCATATGTAAAACGTTGTTTACACTTTTGGAATGAATTTAGCTTTAATATCTACTGTGTACCACAGATAGAGGTGGATATCCCGCGCTGCCACCAGTACGATGAGCTGCTGTCGTCTCCGCAGGGTCACATCAAGTTCAGGCGTGTGTTGAAAGCCTGGGTGGTCTCTCACCCCGACCTGGTCTACTGGCAGGGTCAGTATCTGCTGTTTCACTGAATGTGTTTTTTTGGTCTCCTTTTTTGTTTTTCCTTCAGTATTTCTCCTCCCTCTCCTTCATTTACATTATTCCTTATTGTAATATTCATGACTAGACACTAGATGGTGCTCATGTCACATCCTGTAAACTCATTTTTTACCCTCAGTTTTGTGAACATATATACGGAAGAGGATTAGGGCCACATTATTTTTTTGGGGGGATTTGAAAAAAAAATGTTATTTTTTTCTCAGAC